CAATATTTCAACGAGGTAGGGTGTGTCTTTAGTCTGCTCAAAATTTCATATTTTTTTTTACTAAAAGTACATATTACTTACTAAGCTTGATAAATTAAAGTAGCATTCTATGGTATTAATGTAGTAATTTATGATTTTTAATTGTTCAAATGTATATATAAAACCTATAAAAAATATTTTGTTTCTTATCCTCCACGTGCAAATTTTTTAAAGGCTTAGCAACCTATGTCAAGTAGCAACCGAGTACAAAGGTCGGAAGTAGAAATAACTGTATGCTTTATTTCTTTAGTTACTGTTCTATGTTTTAAGAAAAATAAGTTTAAGAACTTATTTAAAAATAGCAATCATCTGTATACATATATAATGTATAATAATTGAAATGTGAAAGTATTTTACAAAATACTAGTCTACTAAAACAAAGCCAAGACAAGTTACTTTGTACAGACCAAAGGTCAGTTTTATGTTACATGATATGTTAACATGAGTGCACGTGAGCCACGTCGTTGTAACTTCTGTATTGTTAGCCAGGCATGGCTGAAAGGACAATATAATAATAATAATATATATATATATATAATAGTATGAGATTTAAGCTATTTTGTCTGAACATTTATATTTTCGTGTTATAATTTGTGTTCATTCTAGAATGAAAAAGGCATAATTTGTTTATTTTGTAATTTTTTATGGTAGTTGCGAGATCATTCAAATCTACCGATCCCGTACAGAGATTAATTACTGAAAATAACAAATAAAATATAAAGTTTTTTTCTTATGAAATGTTTGATAACTAACTATCTCGACATTATAAAGATTTCACATGTGAAATTTCAAAATTTTCTGATGCATAAAAGTATTTTTAATCTTAAAATGAATATTATTTTGCATAATAGATAGGCAACATGTGAAAAGAACAAAATGACATGAGAAAAACATTGCTTTACAAACCTTAAGACTTAATAAAAAAATTAGCTATTTTGCATATGAAAGCATTGTAATGTTTACTGATAATCTGCCAAATTTCATTAACATTTGCTTAATAATTTAAAAGTTACAGCATGAAAACTATAACAAGCACAAAATGGTTACAAGGTCGGTCACAGGGACTGAGTCCACGCTGAAAGAGTTCAAAAGAAGGGGCACACTCAACCCAACCAGATAGTGGAGCACCAAACCTGAACTGATATTATGAGTAGGTTCCCATGTAGGCTGGTGCCTCTCCTGTCAACATCTGGGAAAAAAACATTCAAGGACCTGGGTAGGAAGGCCATCAAACTTTGTCCTCTTCTCAAAGAGTAGAGGAAAGTCACTCAACACTCTTGAGGAATAACCTCTGTCAACCACAACAGTAACTAGAAACAAGGCATGGTAAGGACTCCCTTGTTCCACTGGTAGGAAATGGGGGGGGGGGTAATGCGTGTTGGGGAGTCTTTAAGAACAATGCTCTAGAAACAGTGAAATAGGTGAACCAAGTTTCCTAAATTTTTAAAAGGAAACCAACCCTAATTAATGATGAGTAATACTAAAAGTAATAATATTAATAATTGATATTATTATATACTAAGTAATTAAGTATGAAACTGTTGAAAAAAGCAAGTGGACTGATGAAGCAGTACACACCTAGAAATGGTGTCACCTGTGGCACTCAGTGACACAAGAACTTGAACATGTTGAAGTAGTGAGCATACACAATATGTTCACTATATACATATCTGTACTCAGTATTAATGAGTACAGAAATCCATACTACTACTGTATTAGTAATAGTAGTAGTACTATGCAGTGTACTACAACAAACTAAATATTGTTATAATGATATTTTCTTCTTCTAAAAAGATCGTTTGCCAACTGCCCATTGTTTAGATCTCGTCTACTTATACACTAGCGGAGAGTGTAAGGCCTTTTATTTTGGTAAAACCAAACATCACCTTAAGTTAAAGTACGAGCATGTGAACACATGGTCATATCTATAAAAGCTGGAAGAAAGGTTACAAACTCTCATTACTCCACACAATGCAGAAACAGGACATCCAACTCTCTTTCCAACTTCAATTTAAAATTCTCTCAAAGTCAAACACGATAACATTATAAATAAAAACTCTTCTTCCATCCCTAAGTAATACACATTCTTTCCTTGATTTAAACTTATTTTAATTAACTATTTCATTTGTGCCACATTTTCATTTTCTCGCGTTATATTTGTATATTCAAACTGTTTACTATATATTTTTGTGGTAATTACAAATATTGTTTGTACCTCTAGATTACTGATGATGGAATTATGATGATCCCAAAACGTTACATAAATGCTTCCTATTACTAATACTAGTATTACTATTATCACGATCGTGTTTTGATTATGATAGTAGTAGTAAATTGAAATCTGTAAACAATTAGTGTCGTTAATTTTTCAAGTCAGCATAACCAATACATCAATGAATACAACTTACCATTGTATAGAGTTATTTTCATTAAAGCAGCATTAAACGTTTTAACCAATCCTTTGTAAATACCATCATCGGTTGTGATTTGAACTCGCCGTCCAACCAATTCACCCGTTATGGTGGTCTCCATTTTAGTTAAATAGAGCCATCTGTCGTCCATGTAATAATAAAACAGTTGAAATACAATATTTTTTCTTCTAGAAATTTGTTATTTATTTTACTGCGAAAATCCATAAAATACTACAAATGTTTTAGAGAAAAATTGATAGTTTGAATACTGTTAGAAGATGTTGCAAACATTTACAAGAGATGAATATTGTAACGACGCCTATTATAAAGGGTCAAACGAAAGTAAAAAAAAAGAAAAAAAAGGTTCTGATGATTTAAGCCCACAAACAGTCGGTTTATTAGTATGATTTCTTACAATGAGAAGTATATTTTCGAACCACACTTTTGAAAGTTTAGCATTGAACGTATACGAGATGATTTGCGAGTCATTTTTGCCTGCCATTTGATCATTTTATTGCAGAAGTTGAAAATTTGTGTCAAACCTTGGTCATGTATCGACAATTTGGTCGATTTTTACTTTGGCTATTCATGGCTTCGGCCACCTGGCAACCCTTGTTTTATTATTCTCGTTGCACAGTAACCACTAGTATGTAAGATTACGCAAGATTGTTACGTGCTAGCGCTATATGCGGCTATTTTTTGGTTAACATTCACTGGGTCTAGGCTTATTAAGTATCACAATTTCTACTTTATAATACTTTATACTACATACGTTGATTACTAATAATTTGTATTGTTTTCTCGGATAGCTAACTGTAGTGCTTAAGCGATTCTCAGTTTCAGATAAGCACAAATTAGCCTAGCCTAAGTCAGATTTACTGAGCATGCAATGAACTCAGACTAGCCCAACATGTGACTTTGTAGGCTATAACTAGATGAGTCTGTCATGACATAGCCTAATCCAAAAGCGATATTAATAATTAAATGATGATTAATTACTAAATTACGCCCAATTTTATAATTTTCATTATTATTACCACTTAAAGGGGTGTATTTTTAAAATATCTAGCCTGCAGTGGCTTAATAACCATTGTCTAAGCTAGGCTAGTTTTAGCTTCAATTAGCAACAGAATAGCCTGTAGAACCCACACCGAAGATGCTCGCGCTCGCGTTGTCGTCTCCGGTGCCATTTCTCCAAAACTAGTCTCTCTAACTTACACTGCTAAATTAGGGACGGCTAGCGCAGATAGCCCTCGTGTAGCTTTGCGCGAAATACAAAAATAGTAATAATAATAATAAAAAACAGACTAGAAAGAAGACTTTATATTGCTTTTAAGTTTGTGATGCGTTTGTTTACAAATCATCGTTTGTAATAAATGTTATTGTAAATTGTATTGTTGTGTTACATTAAAAGGTATTTGTGTTAAAAAAGAAAACTGTGTGTATCAATTTTGTTGGCAAATATCATAAATTGGAGATATATCGGCATATATTTAAATACTAGATCCAAAGTACAATTTAACTACTAAATTTAAATTTATCGGTTAATTCATTTTCAGGCTATTTGAAATTCTAATGCGTAACAAGTACAAAACATTTCAATGCAACGATAAATAATCGTAGTATACCTAAAAATATCAAGTGAAGTTTAATAGGCATACACATTTTATAATATAGGTTGCATGAGGCAAGAGATAAATGAAACTAAAGTTGTAAGACTAAGATTTTGCTTGTTTGTTTGTTTATAGTTAAGCGCAAAGCTAATCAATGGGCTATCTGCGCTGTACCTACCTCGGGTACCGAAATCCAATTTTTAACACTATAAGCCCACAGAATTAAAGTCGAAGCACTGGTGATGTAAGACTAAGAGTTAAAACTTTAAAATACTAATATTAAAGTATTAACATTTTCATTCTGAGCGCGATAAGTAATGTTATAATAAAGACCTTATTAATAATGTGAAGATAGCACAGTAGCTTATGGTATTGATAAAGGATATTGACATGAGTAAACTGTGCACGATTTGTCAGTTTAATGTGATAATCATATACACTTACAGGATCATTTAGCTTGAGTAATAATGAGATTTCAAACTCCTTTAGCGGCACCATAAATATTGACATGTGTAGCAAATTGGATAATATTTGTCTTCTAAAATTAGAATTAAGATTAAATTTCTGTGTATTATAAAACGTTATTATGTTAAATTTGGCTATTTGTTGTAAAAAGAAGCTTTTCAGATAAATTCGGAATTGAATTGTTAGTTGTTCTTAAGCACAAAGTTACACAATAGGTTATCTGTTCTCTGTCTACTACGAGTATCGAAACCCAAGTTTTAGCCTCGAAGTCTGCAGACTTACCGCTGAACCAGTGGGATCAACGTGGGATTTATCGTAATGTTTCAGTATGTTTGGAATCTTTCCTTTATTTGTTTGTTTTATAGCAGAGCCACATTGTTGTGTCCACCGCGAGGAATTGAGCTACGCATTTTAGCGTTGCAAGTCCGTAGAGTTACTGGTGTCCCGCCGGGGGAGGGGGGCATATTTCCTTTATCATGGTTTAAATGGACAAAAAAAACCCATTGTAAAGTTTTGGCGTTACAAACGACCGATGGATTCGTTTCTGCTGAGCTCCAAAGCTATAAACAGATAACTAATGTAATTATCAGAAAAGAAGAGAAGTTTGGTTTCGTTTAGTGTGTTTTGAATTTCTCGCAAAGCTACACAAGGGCTATCTGCGCTAGCGGTCCTAATTTAGCAGTATAAGACTAGAGGGAAGGCAGCTATTCATCACCACCCACCGCCAACTCTTGGGCTACTCTTTTACCAACGAATAGTGGGATTGACCAAAACACATTATAACGCCCACACGGCTGAAAGGGCAAGCATGTTTGGTGTGATGGGGAGAAGAGAAGTTAAAAGCTCTTTAATGGGTTTGAAAAAATAGTAATCTCTATTTCATGGAATATCTATTTTATGTATGATATGCAAATAAAATTAGCATAATACTGCCTGAATGTAAAGAGATACATTCTCCACAAGCAGGATACACAATAGTACACAAAAGCCTATAAAAAAATATCACTTAACCATGGAAACAGTTTTAGGACTTTGTTAGTAAGAGAATATTAAGACCAGGGATTGTTGTAGCCAGGCCATTACAACTGTAATTTATACTTTTAACCAAAGTTCTGAGCAATGAGAATTCAATTTACTTTACAACTCATTTTTGACATTTTATATTTAAGATCAGTGTTTTAACCCTTCTGTCTCTCTTGTTTTCAACTATTTAATTGTGTTTATTTTCATTTGCCTAGTGTTTATAAGTCTGTAGACTTCTGTGCCAAAAATTGAAGGAGGATTTAATTAAAGCTTCCTTTTAGTGGCTTTGGAGATGTTTCTGAGTATCCTATAATGTCAAAAACACAGTAGTTCATCCCCAAATTTACCTAAACAGAGTACATGGATAAAAATATTGCTGGATGATGCTGACATAAGGGGACTGGCCAAAGGTACAATGGAGTGGCCCTAAAGTCCCCAAGGCCAACCTGACTAACTGTAGATCAGTTGATGCTCACTAAAATACCAGAAGAAAGTCTTGTTCAAACCATAATATCTTGAACTGCCAATCATCTTTGATAATGACGACACCAGAGGTCACTCCCACAACAGTCATGACAGAATGAATGACTGGAGATATTGGAAAGCCAAGAAAAGTTAATCAAGTATTCCGTTAGAGGTTACATCATATAGAATATCCATCCAACGTGCCTACACATTTGGAACCACCATATACCTAGGATCAAGAAAACCTTTCCAGACATAAATTCTTCAAATAGATCTTCCAAGTCTCCAACATCAGGGGCCAAGCTATCTATATAAACGATTGTAGAAAAAAACACGTTGACTCATGACATCAACATAGGGTCTTCACTGTCAGCTGTTGTGCTGCTACCTGCAAAATGTCCAGAATCTAAACTTTATGGAACTACCCTCCAAACACATGACTGCAATAAAAGAGCACCCCATTCTTTTATAAATACCAGCTTTAGATGAGTCTGAGAATTCCACAAAGATATGAAAATAGTCCATCAATTTTGGGGTTTGAGTAAAATTGAATTAAATAAAATATCGCGAGTGGTATTACTTTTTTGTGCTTACATAGTCCTTGATGGCATTTATTTATTTCACTTTGTATATGGAACTTAGTTATGGTACAAAATTTAGGACGTTTCGTTTTTGTTCATAGCTGCAGAATTAAGCAAAAACAATTTAAGGTAAGGTTTTCTTTACTTAAGTGTAATTGTAATCAAATTGCTATTGTTTAAATAAACATAATAAATTAGTAAGTTGTGGTTTTCTGATTATGAAACTAGAAGTATACTCAATTTATGAAACACTATCTCAGCTTTGTTTTGACGTAGGAAAAATACAATACAATGTTATGTTTGCATTACTGATATTCCTTTTCTGTGCCATATGATACATTGCTTTCGTTTTCGTATTATCAATATACCGTTTTAATATATTGTGTAAAATAACTAAGGCACGAATAAAATTATTTTATAATACAGAGAAATGTTTTATTTACACAAAAAGATATCCTTTTTGATATCACATAAAACTTACATATATTTATTGATGGCATACAAGTATAAGATTTCATGAAGTGTTAAAATCAACTATAAAACATATACAGTATTGTTTGTTTGTTTTTTTCGTCCAACCCAGCACCTTCTTTTATCGTGTAACTTGAAAGGCATTCAGTGAAAACAACAATTTTGTATTCACCGTAACGGGTCAAGATACTGTCTTATTCAATGCATTATGAAATTTAATTTTCACATCTGCAAAATAATATATAGCTACCATGTGTATGCATATATAAATACATTCAAAAGGAGATCAAAAACTATAAAATATCTTTTAACTTTGGGTCTATGATTACATCAATACCAAATGATGCTAAAAACAAAAAGAAATAATATCAGAAGTTAATCTTACATATGTACATTTTACAAAAAACAACAATCCACTAGCTCATTTTCAAGTAGATTTAGAACAAGCAGAATCTTAACCTATTGTGATTTTTGCACAAGTAAATTAAAACAGAATCAGATTTTCGTTATTAGCATTTTGAATGTCTCGAATAAACAGATTTTTTAAAATACAATATTAGCTTATATATTTTGACTAAAATACAGTTTTAACAGAAAAATTGGACGAATAAGTGATATTAAAAAATGCTTAAAACATACATTTTTACATCGAATTACAAATTGCTTTAACAACTAAATGAATTTAAGCTTAACTTCATGTTGCTGAGAAAGTGTAATTTGATAACTTATGAAATAACATACGAAACGAAATATGTCTAAAAAATCAAGTACTGTATATGTATTTTTATATTTTTAATCAACATGCCCAAATAAATTATAAAAAAGGACACAAAAGTTTAACCTGAAATAATTATAAAAGATGGAAAAATTCCTAGGATTCATTAATAAGGAAAACTAAAATATTTACAGAGAAAAGCTCCTTGCTATTTTACACTGCCATTAAAATGGCATGAAGTCAAATATAACATCAGATTTGTGCGTTTGTAAATTTTAATATTTTGGTATAATAAGTATATATATGGCACTGTTTTGTAATCAATTCTATCCCTGCTTATCCAAATATGTACATATCAATAAAGGTGAACCATGATGTTTGTGAATGGTATTCCTTTAGTCTGACATATCCTTGATCATTAGCTTCCTTCTGATAACGACATACCATTTAAAGTGTATTATGTTCAAGGAAAGGCTGATAGAGTCTTTGATATTTACATGATTTATAACTAGTTTTCTTATAAAAATAGCACTATTTCAACAATAAAAGCTCAGACAAAATGCATATTTACGTAGGTTTACATGATATTCCAGGCTATTCTGTTTAATCAATAACAAAACATCTTTATTCCAATATAAATTTTATACCTTAAAAATAATTCTTATGTAAAAATTGACAGGTTTAATCTATATGCACATTTCAGCTTAAAATTAAATTTAACTATACCAACATAGAAGAACGAACATCCTAAACATCTTTTTTTTTGTATACAATTATAAAAACATTAATTTTTTTTTTGAAATAACAGTTTCTTCAAATTGCAATTAAATGCAGCACCACTGACGGAAGACATGGTGATATAAGTAGAAAAGTATAATACAAACATAAAATAGTTACATAAACCATTCTCAATTTAATGTGCCATTACTCATAATATTGCAGTGAAAATGTTATATTTTCTACGAGAGTATATTATTCCTTTAAACAAATATTTAATCATACCAAACAACAAAAAAGATGCGAAACGTGACTTACGCTCACTTAAATGGAAAACTGATCATCGTTATTAATGTATTTTTTTACATAATATCTTAATCTATTATCTTACGATCTTATGCTATGGGGGTAAATAAAAAGGTGGTTTGGAAGCTATGCTTTTCTATTTTACCATAATTTTAATAAATCTCGATTTATTTTGTCAATCATACCGTTATTTTACATTTCTAGAACTAACACTTCTTTTCAAAAGTGAGACAGGTTTTGCTTTTCCAGCGCTTGATCTAGCAACACCCATCTTTGTGCCAATTTCAAAAGAAAGATTCCTCTTGGTAATAGTAACAGAGTTGGATCTCGACAAAGCAGAAGTTGGGAGCTCAGGAACGGTTACTTTTGAATTCTTCAAAAAAATCTGTTTTTGAAGGAACATCTAAGATTGTTATCAGATCTGAAGCGTCTACAGTTTTAGTATGGTAATTTACTTGCATAGAATGGTGTTTGATTTTTCAGAATTAATTCCATTCACTAAATGTTTGGAAGATTCAGTTTGTTCTTTTAAAACAGAGCTCGATTTTTTCCGAATTGTATCGAATGTTTTCTCCGAAGGACTTAACGTTTTATCACATTTTGTCTTAATATTTGTTGAATTTGGAGAAACTTTCTTAGTTTGTTTCTTTGAGTGAAGATTTGGAGTATCTGGAGATTTTGAGATTATACTGGCATTTCTTCGATTTGCTAGAAACTTAATTTCTGATCTGTTAGACTGTTTCTGGGTTTGTAGTTTTGTTTCAGGACTCTTCGATGAGCTTTCAAGCTTCAACGAATGTCTGAATGTGGTATTTTGTGAAATTTGTCTAGGTTTAGCGTTGTTCATACTATAATTGTGTAGACGATTACGAGGGAACGGTAAATCACTGTAATTTCGTGTTGCAACAACCTTGAGCCGTGAAGGCACGCTTTTAAATTTTACGTTAAATTCTTTATCACATGTAGTGTCAATGGCTTTTAATCGCTCTTCGTTAGTATTATCAAATTTTTGTAACTTACGTGGTTCAACAGTTTCTGATCCGACTATATGAGCTCCTCGCTTATTCTCAACAAAATTTGAAGATTCAGACTTGTATAAATCCTCTGAAGAAACTTTATTTTCTTTTTTTAAAGCACTTTCTTTATTCGTAATGCTAGTATCAGCAATTTTCTCTTTAGGTTTCTGTGTTTCACGTTGACTGGATTGTGAATGTCTGGTTTTACTGTAGTTGGAGATAGAAGATAGTTTAGTCTTCTGGGTTAATTTTTGAGAAGGGTCATAAATGTTCGATTTTGGTAATAGTTTTGAATTTGTTTTAGAATCACATTCTACTTTTGCAGAAAGAATTGCATTTTCTTTCATATTTGTATTTTTACGAGTAATACTAAGCTTTGCAGTTGTACTAGCTAGAGGTGGTTTTTGGCGCGATCTAACAGAGCTGGATCTTACCAGTTTAGTCGATGAATTAACAGTTTCTTTTACTTTATTATTTTGTAGCTTACTTGCAGGTTGGTCATGATATCTTACATATTCTCGAGTGCTAGCATGACGAGCCAGAGGCGGGTTTTTATTTGGTGATGACATTTTACTACTCGTGTCTTTACTTCCTACACGTTGTTTTAAACCTGTTTGTGTTGTAATTTGTGAATCGTTATTTGGATAATTGTTTTTTATATTTCTGAAACTGTACCCTCTTTCAGATTTTAAACAGGATTTATTATTAGTACCCCTAATTGTTTTTCTGTGTCGAGAGAATCGGTTGAAAGTCCTTTCCTCGTCTACACTGTTGACTTCGTGTACTGTATCTAATTCTGTAACCAAAATGCTATCAAAATTAGAAGTTTCATTGCTTTCATAGTCCTGATTTGTGCACTTTGTTTCTGTACACGTGCCTTCGTTATAGGTATCTATGCATTCTGTGGAGTTTACTTGCACTTTTGAACCCTGGTGTACATGATGAAAATCATCCTTTTGGCATACGCTTACGTCTTTACTTCTATTTCGAGTAGAATAATCTTTCAAGCTGTGGTATAATCTGTTTTCTCGAAGGTTACCTACCTTATTATTTGTATATATCTTGCTCAAAGCATAGTCATCTCTTGTTAGATACATTCCTTGCTTACCAGTGTCGGCAATAATATCGTCAATTTCTTTATTGAAATAACTCAAGAATTTTCGATTACTAAATTTTGAAACCATTGAGTTCTCAGATATCAGTTTCTGACTTTTTTCGGATACCTGCATCTGATTTTCAGAATGTCTTTCCTTTTTATGGTTCATTGAATGAGTTTGTTCATGACCAGTAACAGGAGATAATAGTTGTTTACTCAAGTTGGAATCGTCAAAACTGTCTGTAGAAAGTCCTTCCTTTAGATTGGAATAGTCAAAGCTGTCCTTGGAGGGTCCTTCCTTTGATAAAGATTCTACAGAAGCTAGGTTTGATGACGGATCAATTTCTGTTTTACGATAATCAGGGTTCTGTATCAATGACCAAGTTTTAGACGGATTAAGAGAAGGTGTATTTTCAACATTCGATTTTGCCTTTGACTGATTTGTAAAAGAGCAGTTTAATGTTTCATATTCTATTTCAGTTGGAGGTGACGCCTTAGTGATAATGCAGTTTTCAGGATTCCAGGATTTTCCAGTAAAACACTCGGATTCTATGCTTTGTTTTGAAACTCGCCTGTCTTTTTTATCTGTTAACTCACAAGAATACTGCATATTTAAAGTACTTTTTCTAAATCTTGATTTATCTTTCACACAGGGGTTTGAAATATCAAGATCATCTTTTGTAAGTCGATCGTCCACCGATGTGGTTATGGTTGCAGAATATTCTTTCGTACTATGATATAGTCTGTTAGAGCGTGTAAAATATGTTTCATTTGTTGTTGTATTTGTTATTTGTTCCAATTGTTCTTTATTACTTGCAAAACCAGTTTCTTCTTTATTACTTTCTACTGAAGATTTCTTCTCCACATCAAGGTGTTCTTTCATAGTGCTTTCCCCACTTATTTGCATATTTTGCTCTTTCTCCTCTTCTTCTGAAGTTTCAAAGAATGGAGGGGAAAAAATACGATCTCGCTCACTCATTTCGGCAAGCAGTAAATTCTTTCGTCGTTTATGAAGCGATTTGCGGAAAAAAGAATGTCTATCAAAGGACCCATCTTCATTGCTACTTAACGAACTGTATCCTGTCGATTCCTGGTCAGAATAGTCTTGTAATACTGATAAAATATCATCTCCATTGTCGAATAACAACCCACATCGACGCTGCCGCCTTCTAGATGAATCATAAAAAGTACTTGAGAATTCAGTAGATTCTGAATTGTCCAAGGAAGTACTCAAAGAACTAATTGAACTGGACCTGGACAGAGTTACAATACTGGAATCATCAGATGTACTACTCAGGGGTTGAATATGATTTTGAAAACCAGGTAATCCATTGTTCAGAAGCGTGCCAACAAGTTTAGTTTGTGTTTCGTCTCCAGAAAGTGTAGGAGAACGGTGGCGAGATGGAGCTGAAAAAAACAAAAGGTATTTGAAATAAACGTTTAACCTTTAATTAATTTTAAAATTAATGATAGTGATTTTCTTTGTATGTACTGAGTTGAACAAATGCTCATGTGCTATAAGATGATTGAATACATAAGCACACAGTGCCAGTTTGAAAGGAAGGTATTCCATCATTATATATGGAAAGGAGCTGGTGGATTCTTTAGTTTATTATCGTTGTATAACTAGGAAACGTATTTTACTCCCAGTGTCTCCGAAACTGTAACCTTACAATAATTAAACAAAGTAATTTACAAACGTTAAATATAAAATAAAACAAGAAAAGTATCTGTTTCATCAGTCGTCGCCCATTGTATCTATTAGAAAGCATTAATGATGCTAAGAATACACGTACGTTCAAAAAATGTAATTTAAGGCAAAGATTCACAATCCTATAACCCGAGCGCTTTCGAAAAGTGGACCTTTCTTCATTAGGGTCAAACTGGGAACGATAAAGTAAAGCTAAATTTGATGACGAGGAACCCACTTTTAGAAAATAAAGTTTGGAGACAACGTGAAAGGGTAATGCAAAAACTTTATTAAAAGTAACAAATGTACAAAGTTTCGACGAGCTTTTGTCATCATCAGGTTACTTGTGATAAAGTTTTTCACTACCCATTTAAGCCGTCTCCAAGCTTTATCAAGTAAAGATGAGTTTAAGAAAATGTGGATTGACGTCATGGCAAACCACCATAACAATCCGAAAGTGCTTTCTTTAGATTTCAATGGATTGTGGCAAGTGTGTCTTATTTCCGTTGTGCGGTACGACAGGAAATAGAATGTTAGATATAAAAAGGTTACAGACGTTTTGTTTAAAACAAAGAAAAAGTATCAAGGGAAAATATGCTGAGTATGGAAAAAATAAAATAAAGATGTAATATATAAAGATCGATTAAAAAGAAAATTTTAAGCAAAAATAAATAATAAGTATTAAGAAAGAGTAGGGGTAGAAGTAAATGTTTACACCCCACATGAGAAAGGGGGGAAAACTTGTATTTTTCTGACAGAGAGCTAATTATTGGTCAAACATTACTGATTTTAGAATCTATATTTATTCCATAAGGTTGAATGGTATGTAAAATGGCAATCCAGTAGGCTTCTTATATTTCTTTGTCAGGTTTAGATCTGAAACCGGTTTCAATTTATGAGAATTACGTAATTAATAGAATGACTGAGTTTATTGATGTATTTGGCAATAGGAAGGTCTTTTCGGCGAATAGAAGACTCATGGTTGTTGAGACTTCTCTAAGAGTTGTTTGGGCATGTTCTACATATTGGTGATTGCAAGGTTTACACTATATGAGGTAAATGGTACTGTGTGTTGTGCGAGTAATTTCTTGAGTAATATTAAAATGTTTGGTCATTTTTGTTAGAAAAAGAGTCAGTAGTTTTTATGAACTTGTAGGTTACACAACGAATTATTACGTGGATGACAACTATTTGGTGGTAGTGTGTTATTAACTTTTGAATGACCAAAGATTTCTTTACAACTTCTGCTCTTCCGGAAGGAGAAAACGGGAACTTCAGGAAAAAAAAATTGTCTCTGGTGATCATTTAGTCGTAGGAGATGATTTTTTTTTCAGAATATGCGAAACGTTCCTGGGTTTAAATTGATAGATAATGCTTTTTTGAACAGTTTCAAAATTAAAGCTAACAGACAAATAAAAGAAACCTACTTTAAATACCGTTCAACCTAGTGGAATAAATCAGTACCCTGGAATCAGTGATCTTCGACAATTAGTTAGTTCTCTGTCAAAAAAAATTAAAGTTTTTCCTTTTCTCCTTTTTCGTGTGTGAGGTGAGTTACTTATTTTTACCCATAAGCTTTCTTGATACTTATTATATATTTATGGTAAATTTTTATTTTGTTTATCTTTTATATTTTTATATTTTATATTTAACATTTTCATTTTATCAATTGTCATATCACATCTTTATTTTACATTAATAACACTCAACATAGTTTCCTTGGATATTTTTTCCTTTTTTCAAACACAGTCTTTTAAGCTCTTTATAATTAACATTATAGTTTCCTGTCCTCTTGCACAACAGAAATGACACACATTAGCCACAGTTCATTGAAAGCTAGTCAAATCACTTTCGGGTTATCATGATGTTCTGCCAAGACATCACTCAATCTTTTCTCAGACTTAGCTTTACTTAGTCATTTTCTATTTTCTCTTGAAGAAGAAAGGTCCACCTTTTGAAGTGTTAGAGTTATAGGGTTTTATATTTATATGAGAAAACATTATATCTGATAAATTATTTTTCACTAAATGTGTAGGAGAGACGTCATTTTTACTGAATTTGCATTGGTTTTTTTCAAATCTTATTCACTTTAAGTTGAGATAAGCTCTGAAGTACAAAGGCCTTCGAAACAATAGAAATAGGTTATATCAACATTTTACGAATATATTTATCTATATAAATAACTCTTCACTGTTCAGACCCTATTCTGTTTGTTTCGGATTTGATTGTAAAACAAATCATGGTTTACTATGCATATGCATAAATTTTTATAGCAAAACGCGCGTAGAAAGAAAATGTCTTACCTGAAGCGCTTTGATTTTTGCGAGCCTCCTGAGCTTTTCTTTGTGAGCGTCTAATTTCAGCTTTCATTTCCTGTTCATGCCTAAGTTTGTTTTCCTGCGTTGCAAACAATTTAATATTGTTTTATCTTCTCGTAAAAAAAAAATATACCTCAAACAAGATGTACTAATAAATTTTCAAACACTATAATTTAAGTTATTAAAACAAAAAATGCGCTTGGAAATTATTTACACGCTCACATCAAAGTGAGTTAAGGAATCCATTGAAACTTCAGAGGTATTCTGTATTCTTATAAGAATATACACATGTACGCAAATATCTCAATCGCTAAAAGCCGATAACTTGAAAAACCATGGTATTAAGCGAAGAATATTGTTCGTGTGAAGTAAAGAACTAAAAATTAGAAAAGAAATTAAACAAAATATGAAAGCACGTTGATAAAAACATAAAACTATTTAATTTTTTCACAGATTTTTACACTATAATCGGAGCAACAGAGTAACATACAACTGAAACCGCAAATGCTAAAAGAAGAAAATACAAAAAAGTTAAAAATGACGAGAAACTACGATAATAATATACAATAGAACTGAAATATACAAGTGCAATAAAAACATAATATACACCTGGAAAAAAGTTAAGCACCCCCGTGTTTTTTTCAAGTGATTCAGATTCGACGTTCTTGTGACTGATTATAAATTACCATTCAATCT